TCACACCACATTTGACACGAAGAGCTACACTGCTACACAGGTGCCACCTCAGGAAGCAAGATCGGCGTTTGAACACGCTCATGTTGAATCTCCGCCGCGTCCTGCAACTACGTCGGCAGCTGCATTCACCGCTGAGTCGACGCCCGGCACCTTTGAAGCTCCGGCTTACACAGCTCCCCCTGTTGCGGCCTCTATTTCGAACGACACGCATCAACAGGATGAACAATGGGATGAGGATTGGGCTCAGCATGAAGAAACTGTGGCGAAGGGATCTCGTGCAGTGGAGACAAGTGAGGTGACCTCACGCAGTACGATAGCAACCACGACGATTACAACAACTATCCAGACAGATATGTTTGTGAAAGCGCCTGTTGAGCTCGCTAGTCCTGGTGGTGCTGCTGGCGAGTTTTGGGGCGACGGCGACGAAGACGAGCTATTTGATCACGACGACCATGCAGACGAAGAGTGGGATGAGACTATTAAGGACCAGACGAGCTCGGCGCAGCACATGCATGGAGATTCGACTGCTTCCGCCTTCTCTGGTCAAGATACGTCATTCTCGCTTCCATCTCAGCCGCTTCCGCCTGCTGTTGCTGAGTCTCCACCGAGGCAGGAAACGTTGCCAGTAGTGGCTCAAGAGACGATGAGTACTTCTGACTACCCTGCGTCCGAAGCGACCAAGATTTCTGACCAGGAGGAAATGACTTCGGCTCCACCTGTGACGCCTCCGAAGCTACAAGATGAAACAGCACAATTGTATTCTGCTGAGAGTAGCCTAGAGGCGAAGCCAGCTACGTCGTTGGATGCCGAATCCTCACCGTTCTCGAACGCCATTGAATCGTCCGTAAGCCAAGACACCGACCCCAACGTCTTCCCTGAGGCACCTCGCAATGCTCGTTTCCTGCACACTCCGACTGGTACCGGAGGGCCTTTTGGACGTGTGCCATCGCCTCAAGGCAACGACTCAGGCTTTCAGGACGAGTTCTCTGGCGCTGCCACTGCCGCGTCTACTACACACAATGCTGAACAGACTCACCACAGTTCGATGGCATTTACAGATGGAGAGAAAGCTGAGGGCCAGGATTCGTACGAGGACTCGGGTGTAAGGTGGGATGCTGGTTCTTTGCATTCCGGTGGACATGGTCAGCAGCACGAGGGTGAATCTCGTCAGGGTCAAAGCGACGAAGAAGAGCGGGATTCCGTTGTGTCTTTCTCGGGTGAAAACTCATTTTTCCCGTCCGCTGGGCGACCTTCTTCTCTGTATGGCGGTTCTCAGTCCTCGTTTGCAAGCCACCGCATGTATCAATCGTCAGTAGCAAGCACGGATCATGAGGGCAGTTCGATTGCCTCTTTTGGTGTGTCTTCTGCTGGAGCTACGTTTGGCGGGTCGGAGCGTGTTAGTGAAGGGGGCGCTTTTTCGGACGGCACGATGTCAGAAACACCAAGCATGGTGGACTCATCCAACGCCAGCACAGCTTTCGGTACAGATTTCCCTTCAGTAAGTGAGGGTCAGTTCTCAGCCCCTGGTACGACAATTGGTGGATCGGACAATGGTAGTAGTGACGGGGGATTTTCAGATGGAAACGCATCTGAAGCAACCAGCATGTGCGAGTCCGTCAGCACGAACCCGCGACTTGTTTCGGAATTTAACGCTACGCGTGGTCACTACGTGACGGAAACAATCGAACGCCGTGACGTTCAAGAACCGTTTGCATCATCTGCACCAGAATCCGACTCGGTCGCCGCGTTTGGGGTGTCCGAGCCAGCCGCTGCGTCGTCGATGTTTGGAACTAATGCCTCTGCTGACGACAATCCATTTACTAGCTCGCCCAGTGCTTTTAATCCTGCTCAACACGCGACCAGAGCTCCCCCTGCTGCGTCTAACGATTCCAACTTTGGTCACCAGGCGGAAACCGCGACCAAGGAAGAGGGAATTCAGAGTGCTGCCTCGCTGTTTGGTGCCACGGCTGGTGCTGATGTTCCAAATCCTTTCAGCTCGTTCGGTGCGCCTCCCGCTGCACCTGCAGCAGACACGAAGCCTATTGAAGAGCATGAACTTCCGACTTCAGATGCTGGCGATCTCTTCGGCTCGGGTCCTTCTACAAGTGCATTTGGTCAGCCAGTGCAGCACGCAAGTTACCAGACGCATGAGCAGGTACGATTTATGTATCCTGTCAATGGTTATCCAGTCAGGATATTCGTTTAACTTACTAACATGCTTTACATATTCACCAGGGTTACTCTGATAGTGGCACGTCGGCATTCAACTCTGCTCAGAGTCAGTTTGCTTCAAGTCCTTTCGACCGGCCAGCGGCAGCAGTTTCCTCCTCAAGTCCATTCGAAACGCAAAGTTCTCACAACTCTGCGGACCCGTTTGCTTCTCGAGGTGGTAGTACTCAACATGGCTTTGGAAACGCGGCCCCATCTGCCGATAGCGTGTTCAGCAGTGACATCGACCGCAGTGCCTCTTC